TCATCCCATGGGCTTCTACGTGTGCGATCCAGCTAAGCACTTAAGTACACACTTCACTGGAGGCATGTGACGAGCAGCACTGAAGCAGGTCCTTGCGTGATCAGATCCAAGAGCAAGCAGGTGAGCTTCTGGAAAAAAAGGGTTGTTTATTGACTTATGCCTCCCCAATGGCAGGTGTGGTCCTGGCCAGACATGTCACTTGCACTAGAGCAGTGACGGCAGCAGGGAAAATAACTGCCTGTTTTCATCCCTCTCCTTTTCCTCTACTGAGTATGATAAAAAATGACAGAGTGCAAGGGGAGGCTGTTAAAACTCTTCAGCACTGAATCCTCAGGAAGGTCAGACTGGACACCAGGTCCAGCTGTCTGGGTATTCAGGCCTCCTCCAATGTGTTTCAGAGAGCAGTGGTGTTGCAGAATGCTGAAATAAAATAAATCCAAACAAAAATCGAAACTCTACATTCTTCTTTCTTAAATGCATGTCAGATGCATGAATTATTTTCTTTACTTCCTAGCTAAAGCTATCATACATTTTTAAAGTGATTTGATAAATAGCTTCTGTCCTCCACCTCTGGCCTGCTCTATTTTTGTGTCTTGGTGCAGTATTTACAGTTAAATCCCCAGATGAGCGGAAGCCAATTCCACCCATTTCTAAAATTTCAAAGAGTTTTAGTTCCTCCTTTGAAGAGAAAACACCAGCTCGGGTGAGGAGAATGGAGCTGCAGAGCTCTGAGCTCTGTCCATGCCCCTCTGGGCAGGGCACTTCTTGTCCCTCTTTCTCATTGGCAAAACAACATTTTCCTACATCCCAAAGATGTGGTGAGCATTCAGCCATTTAGAAATGTCCAAGTCTCTGCTGCTCTAGTTTTAACAGTAACATAGGAACAGTTTAATTCTTGAAAGAAACTAAACTAAATAATAACAATAATACTAATTTTTAAAATTGTAGTAATAATAATAATAGGAACAACAATAATAAAACACATAAAGTTATACTCAGCTCACGCAGCAGTCACTGGCTCTGTTCTCCCAGCAGTGAATATCAGATAAGATAATAAACACTGTGAGCACAACAGCTCCAGTGAAAATGCAGTGGTCACAAGGAGCAGGGGAGTAGGCCTCAGGAGCAGAATGATGGGTGAGACCCTTCAAGGACGATGACCATCGAGGAAAGAGAACCATCCCTAGCAAACTCCTCAGTTTATAGTGAGCATGTCTTTTGTGGTATGGAATAATCCTGTTGGCCAGCTTGGGTCAGCTGCCCTGGCTTTCGCTCCCCCCAGCTTCTGCGCCTGGCCAACTCAAAACTGCTAAAGACCTTGATCACTGCTAAAAACTAGTGTTTGCTAAAAACTAAACCACAGTGTCTTGTCAACTTTGTTCCCACTAAATTGAGCACTGTAGTCTCTGCAGAAATGCGGCTTTCCTGAATAGAAAACTGATTCTATGATTTTATCCCAGCAAAACCAGAACACCTTGACATGTCCACATTGACAGCCTCAGACAGGTAACTTACGTGGCTTTTTGTCCCCTTGTGATACTTGCAGTTGTCACCAATCGTGGAGTTAAATGTCGGTGGGGAGCTGTACACGACAACGCTGAGCACCTTAAAGAAACACCCTGGCTCCAAGTTGGCAGAGATGTTCACTGGCCAGCCCAAACTCAGGACTGACTCCGAAGGGAGGTTCTTCATCGACAGGCCAGGCACCTATTTCAAATACATCTTGGAGTACCTGCGCAGTAACCAAGTGCCAACCCAGTGCATCCAGGATGTCTACAAGGAGGCATTGTTCTACAACATTGAGCCCCTAATCAAGCAGCTAGAGGACTCCCCGCAGATCTTCGGGGAGCTCATGGCGAGGAAGCAGTTTCTGGCTCGTGTGCCCAGCTACAGCGAGAACATCGAACTGATGATCCGCATCGCGAGGGCAGAAGCGGTGGCATCCCGCCGGTCCAGCGTCATCGTGTGCGTGGTCAGAACTGAGGAGGATGCAGCCAGATGTCGGGATGCCTTGAACAGCTTGGACATGGATAAAACATCCGTGGTGAAGTTTGGCCCCTGGAAGGCAGCGCCAAGTATTTCTGATCTGCTGGACTGCATTCAAATGGATGTTGAAGCCAAGGGGTATAAAATATCCTTCCAGCCCCACATTGCTGAAAAAGGTTTTCGCTTCAAATCGCACGACTTCTTCTACAAGTTCCTGTTCACCTGGTGGTAGCAAAGTGCCACCACTGATTACGAAAACACATTAACTTGGGCCACAGAGACTAAGACATAGACTACCATGGAAGAAGGAAGAAATGCATGGCCCAGCAAAAGGATCTCCTTTGGTCATTTGCCAAATTAAAGAGCACTTAGAAGCCACTGTTTTCCTTGGGCTTTAGGGGATAACCGTACAATTTTTGAGGTAGCAGGAAAAGGAGGAATTCTAGTCTTTCAGTGTTGCTGACTATTAGATAAGTTCAGAGAGCCAGATCTGAGGGTTGAGACAACCTCACTCTACCCAAGAGAAAAGAATAATCCCAAATATGTCTCGTGGGCATGGGGAGTTGGTCTCTCAGTGCAAGTGGGAACAGGTCACATTGACCTCATTCATGTTTATAAATCTGTAAAGGGCGAGTGTCAGAAGGAAGGAGCCAGGCTCTTCTCTCTGATGTCCAATGATAGGAGAAAGGGCAATGGGAGCAAGCTGGAGCATAGGAGGTTCAACCTGAACATAAGGAAAAACTTTTTTACTGTAAGGGTACCAGAGCCCAGGCCCAGGCTGCCCAGAGAGGCTGTGGAGTCTCCTTCTCTGCAGACATTCAAAACCCACCTGGACGCGTTCCTGTGTGACCTGGTCTGGGTGATCCTGCTCTGGCAGGGGTTGGACTGGATGATCTTTCGAGGTCCCTTCCAACTCCTAATATTCTGTGATTCTGTCACATACGTGCAATTCGCAGTGGAATCACTGAAAGCTTTTCCACACCAGAACCTAGGTTGAAAAGAAGAATTTCAGTGTCCCATACACTCTTCTTGTTCCTCCAGTAGACAGCCTACCCTCTGGCCAACATATTTATTGTTGTTATTTATTATTTCTTCAGAAGGAAAGATAGAGATCCTCAGCTATGGTCCAGGATCAACAGAAGGCAAAAATGCTGTCGCTGATCTGAGGAGTCTATAATCCAAGGACGTGCACTTCTCTCTCATGCCACACTATTTCCACTTTTTTGGTGATATTCATTATTATTACGATATTATTTCTAAATATCTAAGCTTCTGGAAGAATAAGGAAAATCCACCATCATTGGACAGGAAGGAGGCACTACTGAAGCGACAGTCTGGGACCTCAGTGCAAATTCTCCTTTATAGAACATAAGTTGGGTCCTACATTTTGTTTTAAAAATCTTAGCATTTAAAAGTTTATTTTTATACTGGACATTGCTGTTAGCTTGGTTTTAATCACTCTGAAAATCATAACAGCTAATTTGATTATTATCGTGTTTCCTTTATTTCTCAGAACATGGATTTCTTCCAGTTAAGGACAATAATCTTTAGGATGCTAAATAAATAACTTCTAAAAGTCCTTTGAATGATAAAAAGTGTTTTATTTACTGACACTTTCCTTCCCAAAACCTTAATTCAAAAGACCTGAAGTTTTATCTTTATGCTAATGGATTTGAATCGTTCCTAATTAAGCTTGGTTTCAGATGTGTTCATCCTAGCACAGATTTTCCCCCAGTGAAAGTCAGGAGTCACACCACTGACCTCAGGACAGTTCTGCTGTAGATGTGAGCGGACTCTTTGAGACCTCTCACGTTTAAAACCTTGGTAAGAATGGATACAACCAGTGTCTGAGAAGGCAAAAAGGTTTAGAAAATAGGGTCTATGATCATAACCAAGCGGTCAGTGATGCTTAGTCTAGAAAAAGAGAGACTGAAGAGGCCTTCAAATAGACAAAAGGCTGCTTTAAGGAGATTTGTTACTCTTTGTATGTACTAAAGGTGGAAGAAGGGGTAAATGGCTTAAGACACAATGATGATGATAATTTTCCAACCATAACAATCTTATGATTCTATGAAAATTAGATATTAGAAAAAAAAATCTTGTTACAGGGTAGTTAAAGCCTTAAACCAACCAAACTCTTAAGATTACAGGCCTGCTGTCATGAAAGACTAACAGTTTTGTCAAGGATGGTCGTACAGAACAGCCCGGGCTGGAAGGGTCAATGAAAGATCATCTGGTCAGCCTCTGGTGGGAAAGGAGCCTGGGTGAGATTACTGAGCACCTTGTCCCATCACATCTTGAAAACCCCCAGCGATGTGTACTCTACCACATACTTGGGGAGGTTGTTCCAGTGAATGATGGTTCTGACTGTAAGAAAATTATCATACTGAGAGGAAAACTCTCCTGGTGCAATTTGTATCCGTTGTCCCTTGTCTTCTCCACACGGCTCCCTGTGAAGAGACAGCATCCTCTTTGTGGACACTCTTTAAGTACAGGGAACATTGTGCTGAGATCCCCTCAGGCAGAAGAAACCCAACTCCTTTAATCTTTCCTCATAGGGCAGGTTCTCCAGAGCTTTCATCACCTTGCTGGTGCTTCTTTGGACCATTCAGCCCCTTCCCAAATTGCCTTGTCCCTGAGATGTGACCAAACTGTGGCTGCCCCTGACTACCTCTAACCACGCAGCATCACAGAGGTAACTGCTGCCTGCACCTCCTGTCACCTAACAAGACAGAGGTCTGGCATGGGGCTCCTTGGTGCCAGGCCCTCCTTTCCGTCTCCTCGAAGCAGGCGTGTTTGAAGGCCATGCTAAGCTTTCATGTGTGTCTAACACAAGCTTGCCTGGAAATGTCAAGCCATGTTATTTATATTTTAGTCTTTATACGGTATTAACATCAAATATTAACTAAATTGGTGGGTGATTCTGGGGCAAACTGAGCTCATCTAACAGGGCTGACCCCCTGGCGGGGTTTGGCTGCAGGGCAGGCCCGTTTTCCCCCCCGCCATGTCCGACCATGTTCCCTTGGCAACGGGAGGCCTGGCCGCCTGACCATAGAGGGCGGCCTCCAGCTGGGAAGAGAAGACGTTCTTTTCTGCTGCCGACTCAGTGGTTTCTCTTCCGGGTTGCGCATACGGCGGGCGGCCGCGGGC